TTTTTTTTCACTAGATTACTTTTACTGAAGTAAGGGACTTGTGTACTTCTGCCACCTCTGAAAAGTAAGCTGAAAATGCTTTATTGAAACACCTCATGGGTCTGTACAAAAAACAAGAAGGGGCAATTGCACTGCCTTAGCTGTCCTTTAGAGTTCAAATTTGAATTTTAAATTACATTGCTGTGATTTAAACTAATCATGTGTCATTTATAAATCACACATCTTATTCTTTTGAAGATTTATTTTTATGTAGCAGGTGAGTACTCTAAAAGTATTCACATGAAATTGTAAAAAGCAACTGTATACTGAATATTGCCTTTACAAAATGTAACTTGGACTGAATACAGATACTTTCTGTTTTCTGAATACATTTTCCCAATACTTGTGTTCTGTACATCCCAACCCAGGCTGTAGTTAAAACATTTAGAACTGCCGTTAGAGACACTTTTCTGGGTTACTGCCTCTGATACTCTCTGCTATAAACTGTTGTGTAACGTGAACATGCCTTTTTATTGTAATTGTGAAATAAAAAAAATGTACAGAGAAACTGTATAGTCAGTTTGGATGTTTGCTGGCTTGCCTGTTAGTTAAATGTGTGCCTAAAATTGTAACCTTTGCCTGCTAGACTTCAGTAAGGGACTTATATACTTCTGCCACCTCAGAATAAAAGTAAGATGAAAATGCTTTATTGAAACACCCCATGGGTCTTTACAAAAACAAGAAGGGGCAATTGCACTGCCTTAGCTGTGGTTTAGAGTTTAACCCAAGTTTAAACTTCAAACTCCACTGCTGTGGTTGAAACTAAACCCAATTGATGTCATTTATAAATCACACATCTGCCACTAGATGGTGCTGTAACTCAAGTTTTATCTGATGTTTCTCCTAAACCTACTAAAGATACAGGTTTAAGGGAAGATTATTGTAATTAAATCGCATTTTCAGTTCCGATATTTCAATATTCCATACCTAGGTCCTTATACCTTCCATCATTTGTGGACTTCATGGCATATTTCAATTTAATGCTATATTGCTTAATTATACTCATACTGAGGTACCATACAAAACTAGAGCAAACACACATCATCTCAGCAAACATTTATTTTTCACTTCCATCAACCCCCACCATCCCAAAGAAAGAAAGAACAAACAAACAAACAAACAAAGAAAAACAATGCACTAGCCAGGCTGACCAGTTCAAAATGATTTGCAGCGCTCTTAAGAACGCATTGCTTGCAGTGTCTTGAGGCATCAGGTACAAGTGCAGAAGGTCACGCAGCAAACCACTGTAAACGCTATGCCAACAAATCAGCACCCAGTAGCAGTGATACTAGTGTCCTACTATCCAAAACCTACTGTAGAACATAATTTTCTGTGTTACAGCACCATCCACAGGTTGGGCATTGTTCTCTATACAGCTGGTTGAAATCTGTTTAAATTTATGTTCACTTAAGCTCAAACTACAACCATAATAATGCTTTAGCCTCGTGCTAATACCCATGTGTCAAACACAAGGTCCGCAAGCCAAGTCAGGCCCATGTCCTATTCGGCCCGCAAAATCATTTTAGCCCGTTTCACCCTAAGATGCACCACAGTCCCCAGCATGCACTGCAAGTCCCCCAAGAACAATCTATGGACCAGCAGTTACACAAAAAGAAAAGACGCCCTGGTGTCTAGTATAAGCAAATAGGCAAATGAAAAAAAAACGACCTAAAACAATTTATTTTTTTAATTTAGAATTATTTTTGAATCAGTATATAAGGCCTACCTGTCCAGGGTGTATCTTGCCTTCCGCCCAATGACAGCTGGCTCCAGCATCCCCCATGACCCAGAGGGATAAGCGGTTTAGATGATATGTTTGTGTGTCTGTATGTGTGTGCATCTATTTTGCTGTTGCAGTTTTGGTGTAAAAACTAAGTAAAAATGAAATAAAAACACAGCTGGCCCATGGATTTGCTGCAATTTTTTAATATGGCCTTCCTTAGTGGTTGAGTCTGACATCCCTGTGCTAATAATTCACTGTTAATGGTATGACCGATGCCACATACAGTTTACTGGATAGAATCAAGGAGTTGAAGTGAAGCATGTGATGTAGTGAAGCAGTCCTCCGAGTTCTGATTGCTGCTTTAGTTGCAGTATTTTACAGTCTGCATGAACGTGATGTCATCACCCATTTCACTTCACACCCAGCTCCAACATCCTTCCTGTTCAGCAAAAAGTAAGTGGAACTTGTGAACACTAGTACTAAGTCCCAACACTGGCTCTTTTTTAAAAGAACAGTTCAGTCAAAAAAAAAAAATGTTGTTAACTTGTTAGTAGCAGTCAGTGGTCCAGTTGTAAAAAGTTTTTAAGGCAAGCAGTGGGCTTAAACAACAAGGATGGGTTGTGATGAACTGTATTTTTACTTTTTAGCACATAGGGAATAAAAGCTTTCTTAGAGATCTCATCTTACACAGTGATTAGAATGCCTGTGTTTATATGGAACACAATGTCATAATTCTACATTCATTAGACTTTTTCCCATGAAAAGCATACATTTCTACATAAGCACCATCTTATCCAATCTGGATTAGTTTTACTTGGAGAGGTATTGTAATTTGAGTGATTATCAATGAGATACAAATATAAATCTGCCATATCTGTACTTTTCACAAGTCCGCTAAGTAATAATTCCGGAGCAAATTACTTTCTAGAATTTGCCAAACTCAAAGTTCCTTCAGTGAGTAGTCCTGTTCATTATGTAATAACAAAATCAGGTGAAAGAAAACAGCACATGAATTTTTCTCTTCCTTTTTTCTTTCCTTTAGCACCAGAAGACAAGGCTAAGAGAGTTAGCTTGATTTGACCAAATTCCTTAATCCTCATGTTCTTGATAAGACTACTGAAACCCACAGTTTTGGTGATGGTCAAATTAAGGAAGGAAAATCCACTTTACTGGCCTAATGCTATTCTATATGCCATTCAGCTGCACAACGTATTGTTAGACACTTTAAAGATGTTTCTCACTGAAAAAGCAAAGAAAACTAGCAGTAGGAAACTAGCAATAGTGCTACTGACTGCTGATTGGTTGGCGAACTGGTCTGCTCATGTGTGGCTGAGTGAAGCGGTTCATGCTAACTGACGTCATGAGCCTACATGAAAAAAAAATATTTCGTGCTATTCTGTGTTCAGGAAATTAACGCATTGTGCTATATAAAAATGTTTAAACATATATAAACAATGATTTTGCTCAAATACTCCATATTAGTCCATTTATCCTTGGTCTCCAGCGTTTGACAAATCCTGAAAACGTTACTGACTTGCAGTTCACCTCTCTACAAATTCTCTAGTTGCATTCCATTGCACAGGGTCTCCAAGCAGTACCGTTACATCCCCTACATACTTCAACATGGGATGTGGGTTAAGGGAGCTGATAAATACGTTAATTCGGAACATTCAGTAGCACCATTATCAGACAAAAGGTAACACTCAACTTCAAGAAACATGCAGTGACCAATGGGTAAATGTTCATGCAACTTACTGCGAATAAAGTGATAAACTGTTGTTCACTCCTCCCTATGCAGTTTGAGACAACATTTTCATTCCATATGGTTTGGACTCACCCCTAAAATGTCTGAATACTTTGTGTAGTCCACTTTGCAGGGATCCTATAGGACAATTACAATGTGCCTTCTGTTATTGTTTGGAAGTGTTGCGTCTGTCACATCACACTGACGCAAACATTCGCAAAGAAATTCGGGGAATTTCCACAGATCCTTTATGCCGTACAAATCAGCCAGTCAAATCATGCAAATTTTTAATTACCGGACCTATTCTGGTAAAACTAATCCAACTCGATTAGGACTTTGTGTCCAATTGTAATGTGACATGTCGACACCAGGAAATCTTGATATATCCAAGGCAACCTTCACACCGGGCACTAACATTGGTCCTGGGTGATCTGATCATAAGTAGACAGCACTAGTACAGGTGTGAATGGGACGAAGCAATGATGGACCATTTAATCTACTGTATCATCACAGCAGAGAGTTTATAAGTTGTGTTAGCAGGTCCTGCTCTCAACATGTTCAGACTTTGCCTTTTAACAGTTAGTTGTGATTGCTTTTGGTTGTTAAATTTGACCAAAATACATATTTTAAATTATATTGTTTTTAAGGAAAGGATCTCTGTTTTAAATGTATATTTGAAGTTGAAATGCAGGTTAATCAAGACACTTGGAAATGCCGGCTGTAAACGGCTATATGGCCCACTCTCCACTTGTGAGCAGATGACTAAAGACGGCTGTTAATACCAGGTGTGAACAGGGCTTTATCTGACATATGGAATCTGTAGTCACCTCAAGGTATATCATACAGTGATTATATCTCAATAATATCACGACATATCAGCTTAGCATTATACAATGTATATTATGATGCAATATCAGTTAGCATTATGCAGTGTGAATTATTATGCAGTGTCAGTCAGCATTTTACTTGTTCACTTAGCATTCTGCACTGTCAGTTAGCATCATGCAACATCAATTAGCATAACACAGTATCAGTTAGCATTATACATTGTCAGTATTATGTCATGTCAATTAGAATCATGCAATGTCAGTTATTCTGCACTGTCAGTTAGCATTATGCGGTGTCAATTTGCATTATGCGCCATTAGTAAGTAATATGTGATATGATATGGCTTTTCACAGAGTCATGCTAACTAGTGCTTATTAGCTTCCTGTAGTTGTTAGTGTTGTATGACATATTAGTAGGTTTTGCTGAACCTGTTCCTTTTACCTCCTGAAGAGGGCTGTCATTTTCAAAATAGATCCCCCGCCCGTCATTCTTTTTGCTCTATTTTAATGGCAATATTGCTCATGTTTTATCTAACAGACGGCCATAACATAAGCTGTTTCTAAATATAACTTTCTTTCCATATCACAGTCTTCATGAACACAATGTGATTAGTTCACCCGTCTCACTTCACACAGAGCACAAACATCCTTCCTGTTCACCAGAAAGTGGAAGGGGCTTGCTGGGTAGCGAGTATAGCTCTAAAATCTAACACACACTCACACACACCTGCTGTACGATGGGCATCTGGAGCCGAGCCGTTATCTGCCTGATCCTCCTGCTGACCACACCTGCTGTGATCAGACCAGTCATTACAGACCAGACGGTACCAGACATTACAAATCAGACGTTCATTAACGACTGCGTAAGAGAACACAACCAAAACAGATCCAGCGTTGACCCACCAGCCAGCAACATGCGCTACATGGTAAGACTCAGAGACGGGGTGAGTTCCTCTGAAAGCCTGACGATACACACTTCCAGTCTAAAGTTTGGACCTGGTTAAATCTGTTTATCATTTTAGGCAAGATTATTTATATAGCATATTTCATACACTGCTGTCATTTAAAGTGCTTTACAAATGAGAAAATGCAGAGTTTACTTAAAAAGTAAAAGAGAATAGAAATTAAAAACAACATTTTGTATAAAACAACACAGTTTAAAAAAGAAAATCATTAAAACAAAAATAAAATTAGGATAATAAAGTGTTGTTACAGAGGAAAAGGCCTAGAAACGCTAACAGTGTTTTAAAATGAGCTGAAAACTGATACAGTTAGGAGACCATTACAGTAATCAATTCTGCTAGAAATAAAGACGTGGATGAGTTTCTCCAGGTCTGGTTTAGTCAGAAATTCTCTGATCTTGTTGATATTTTTAAGGTGATAAAATGCTGATTTAGTAACTGATTTGACATGGCTGCTAAAACTAAGATCAGAGTCCATTAGTACACCAAGGTTACATGCTAGTAGATTTTAGGGCTCCTGAATCCAGATAGGCAGCTAAACTGTGCGCCTCATTGCTATTTCCAAATAAAATAATAAAGCAATAAGCCACTTGAGGCTGTGCCTTACTGCGATTTTATCACAGGGAAGGGAGTTTTAGGCACTAAGAACTTCCTTCCTGTGATAAAAGAATACAGTTCCTTTAGAATATAGTGTCATTGCCAAGCAACCATGGACCGGTGAATGAGAAGAGGTATGTTCAGTCGCCCATCACTGTACATGGCGGTCATTTCATTATTTTTTAAACTTTTTGTCATATAACAATAAACATAGGATAATACAGCACTGTTTAATGCAAAACTTTCGATTTATAAGTACTTTTTGGTCACCAAATTACCATCACAAGGCTTATTTAGCACCAATCCAGCAGCACCCCTCTTGCTGGGGCTAAATCTCAAATGGCTCCCTGTTCAACGTGCACTATGTAAGAATTAAAATACTGGCTCCTCCACTCCAATGGTGCAAAGTATAGCTAAAAAATAGTCAATGGGACTCAGCCACATCCATACTCGATAAGTGATGCACTATTTGGCTGTAGAGGCTAGAATTTCTAAACTTATACAGCTAGCACACTATTTTGGGAATATGGAGCCGTTTGAGATTCAGCCTGAGTTTTTAGACTTTTATACTGCCGTTTTACAGTTAATCATATCGTAAGTACTTTAATTCAAACCTGTAATATTACTCATGGAGTTGTTTAGGCTGTTGGCTATGTGTTAGCCTGTTAGCTAGCTGACCAGCCTAGTTCTAGTTAAGTCGCCAGCCCCTCAATTTAAACAAAAAAAAAAAAACAGGTTCTTATTTCATCAATATACTTGGTGCTGCATGCCAGCAGCATGAGAGTCAAAGATTATTCCATTAACAGCACAAAGTTTTTTTCCATGCCACGGCATAGTAATACACAATTTGGTTGTGGTGAGGCGGTCATAGGTGTACATATATCAAGGATTTTACAATGGCTTTAAATGTGGTTCAGCCAATCTGATTTTAGGCCCGGAACTGTCCGTTTTATAATCTCTGTTTTATCTTTATTCAACTCCAGAAAGTTTTGTCCCATCCAGTTAGTGATGTGCTCAAGGCACTTACAAAGTGAGTCAAGGGGACCATAACTGTTTGGGGACAGCAAACGTTGACCTCATTATCAGCCTTGTTTTGAAACGTGAATTTTGGAGGCCTTCTTTGGTATAAAGAGTAGGTTTTGCCAAAATAATGATTTGACAGTTTTCTCTTCCGAATTACTGTTAAAAGCACATATTGAAATTCTTTTGACCCAAAGGTGTTTTAAACACCTGAAAGGTACCAATGAGTTCTGACATCACAGTAAGGGGATAAATGGGTGGGGCCTTTGGTTTATTTCCAACAGCGCTGTCACTAGGGCCAGGGACTTGTTTTCAGACGGAGAGTTGATGATGCAGACCAGCCTACCTGCCCACCTGCTTGGATATGTCCTTATCCAGTTCTGACCACTGCTGTCTATCCTCATGTGACTTATGTATGAAACTATATTATTAATGAAAAAAAAAAAAAACAGTAGATCCCTGCCTGTTGTGTTAGCCAGTATCAGATTCACACCACTGTGCTGATTCTAATATGTTAATTTCTCAAAGCTAATATTAGCTTCTTAATTAAATTTCTGTTCCATCTTAAAAAGTGTAGCAGTTAAACACTAGCGTCCATAAAATGAAAATAATAATCTAACTTAAGCTTCATCTCATCTCTGTCCACTATACTATAAGACTGACTTACTATCACTAAATCAGGGCTGTACCACTTAAGGCGGGGGCCACAGGTGAACCTCTAAAGTGCTACAGATAAACACTTGGATGTAACATTAATAGTTTATCTGTGCATTCTTGTGCTTTACATTAGCTCACAGTAACTGGCCCAAGACGTGCATTCAGCTTGTAATGGTTTAGCTAAAATGTAACGATTTATGCTAAAATTAATCGTTTTAGCCAGATTGATTCTGAAGTTTACAGTCAAAAAAAAAGTTCAAAACCTACCAAAATGCACAAAAACCACCCAAATAATACACATCAAAAACAGTCTGTGGTCATTTTAACAATAAAACATAATAATACAGCATTTACAGCACTTTTATTACATCAAGCTTCTGTGTATGTTATCTGTTGATATTTGCCTTCAAAAAAATGCAGTTAAGCATAGAAATTGTTGCAAGGTGACACTGTCTGTCTTTTAAACAAAAGTTTCTATCACTGCTATAATGAACCCAGAACATACGTAATTTTTAGCACCCTTGTCAAACAAGAAACTACAAGTGACTTCAACTAAAATAATTGAATGCTTCATTAATGCTTTTAGAGTATTGACATTTTTAATGTGTTGTGTATGACAGGACCCATGATCCGATAAATAGCAATAATATTGCAAGCATAACTGTTCATCACACATTTATAATCAGCTGTGCTGGACAGGTCACTGGTCATTCCTACTGAATTAGATAGTCCATGCCGTGTTAGACCTGAAAGGTCTAAATATATATATATTTTTGAAACCTGCCAAAATAATGACAAATCATCCCAAATTCTTCCCCCACCAAATCCAACCAAAATCCACCCAATTTGGCAGGACCCACCCAATTTAGGAACACTGGTTTCAGCCCTGACTGCTTTTTGAGTGAGGCACAATACAGGGCAGCAGAGGTCATTTAACTGTATCTGTCTTAAAGGCACACAAAAATCTATTTCATTTTAAGGGACAAAAAGATGTTGGAAAAGTCATAAGAAGTCATAAGAAGATCATTTGGATTTGTTGAACCTTTTTACTAGGTTTTGTGTGATTGTGTGTGTAATTTTTTTGGTGTGTGCATTTTTGCAGTCATGGGATGAAGGGCTGGCAGTCACTGCGAGAGCCTGGGCAAGAAACTGTCTCTTTGTGCACAATATTTACCTGAGAGAGAGTAGCAAGGTCCACCCAGTCTTCAGCTCTGTCGGGGAGAATCTTTGGGTGGGGACGTGGTTTTCAGTGGAGGATGCAATCCAGTCTTGGGTTAACGAAGTTAAATATTACACCTATGAGACGTTGAGCTGCGGCGGGGTCTGTGGACACTACACACAGGTAACTCCTCTGAAAACAGCAGTTTTGTCTTTAAATTATTATACAGTACAAGTGGTGTGGTTTATTGGCCAACTTTAGCCTTCCCCAAGCTCCAGCCACAAATGTCTTCTTTCACTGTTTGCAGAACAGAAAGAGAAACAATGTATTTGTGAGCTACATAAACGAAAATTCAAGCTACCCAGTATGCATTGTTGTTGGATTATGATCAGATCACTCAGACTACACTTTGAGGTGGTTTAATACAAGTGTAAATGGAAAGAGGTTTTGCTATCTGTATACAATTGCATCAGTGGAAGTGTATCGGATCTCATCTATTTAAACTGGGAATGTACTTTAGTGAAAAGTGTAAAAATCAAAACAATCTGGCCTATACAGGATTGTCGCATAGCTAAGAGCGGGAGGAGTAAACAGTATATTTTTTTCTTGGCTGTTCCTTTAAATCCAGGCCGTGCTTTTACCTGTGGACTGTGTTTGCAGGTTGTTTGGGCGAACTCATATAAAGTCGGCTGTGCTGTCCAGTTCTGTCCAAAGGGAATCAAAGAAACGACGTTCTCTCACAGACCAGGATACGTGTTTGTGTGTAACTATGCTACAGCGTAAGTAAGCAGTGTATTTGCGTTGTCTTTGGCCGTGGAACTTTCACTACTGGAGCTAGCTAGTTTACACCAAGACTAAAAGTTATGATTAAGCACCAAGCTAAAAGTTATGCTGTATTCAGGTCCTCTGTAGAAGGTACATACCGAATGATTAACTAGTTACTCTGTTCAGGTGTTTGTTAAAAGATACACCCACAACATGGAAAAGAAAGCAAGAGAAAGAAAGAGGTCAGGAGAATACATATCTGGCTTTTTCTTTGCTACATTAAAAAAAGAAAGCATAGATCGTTTCAGATTCACTGCCAGGTTTCATTAATGAAAAAAATGAATGCATTTAAACTGTCAAAAACAGCATTTAAAAGGTTTGAAGTTCAAATAAATAATTTGGATGAAAAAAATCAAATTAACACGATTTCTCACTTAGCCCAGATGCAGTCAATCAGCCATAACATGTTTGCCATGTGCTTCTCTAATTTACTATGGGAGATGCTAGACTAACCTTGCTAACAAACACTGGACTTGGCCTGTCACCAAACACTCTGTAAACGTATGCCTAAAAACACCAAAGTCTCTGTAAATGCATACCCAAAACATCCCTCAACCCACTTGAAATGCATCCAGATCTTTATTTGTTTCACATTGACAAATCAGTGTGGTTTACAACTTACTTTAGTGTATACATACATACATACATCATCTAAACCGCTTATCCTTCTGGGTCACGGTGGGGTGCTGGAGCCTATCCCAGCTGTCACTGGGCGGAAGGCAGGATACACCCTGGACAGGTCGCCAGTCCATCGCAGGGCAGACAGACAGACATACACATTCACACACACACACACCTAGGGGCAATTTTAGCACGTCCAATCAGCCTGACTGCATGTTTTTGGACTGTGGGAGGAAACCGGAGTACCTGTAGGAAACCCACACAGACACGGGGAGAACATGCAAAGTCCACACAGAAATGACCCTGGTCGCTCGTCCGGGAATCGAACCCAGGCCATTCTCACTGTGAGACAACAGCGCTACCCACTGCACCCCCGTGCTGCCCTACTTTAGGGTAGAAAAACAAAAATAAATGTATATATAGGTAAATAGTGGTGACCCACTGTGATTAACCAGATCCACTTTTACCTCAGCACGTTATGGTATCATTTCACACAAGACTACATGAACTCGCCACAGACGCTCTGTAAGCTAACTTGGCAGAGACGCTAAGCTGCTGGACTTGGAAAATCAAACCAATGTCCGATTACAATTTTGATGACCACATTTTCAGCTGTATATGTTTGAACTTGAGTACGCACATGAAGAAATGTACCAGCCAGATGCTGGACCCACCAGCGACTCGCCGGACATATCTGTGACAGGTGTTGCGTTTACTTGTGGAAAGTGCCAGGTGATTCCAAATGAGGTCGAGCGAGGAGTGTGGGCAGTGAGAGCTACTGATACTCGCACATTTGATCAACATTAAAGATGGTTACAAAAGATGTTTATTTATTTTAACTAACAAGATATTAGCAGTATTAGCTAAGTGAGCACAAAACAGACAGCGACAACGGAGAAAAAGTAATCAAGGCTTACCTCAAATTCACTTCTTTGCTGCAGATTTTAGAATATCCAGTTTGTGACCTTCCTTTTAATTGTCAGGCAAAAAATGATCACTGCATGTTTTTCATTATGGTTTTTTGAGGTGCTACTTCTAGCTAACTGTCTTACCCTTATGAAGCCTTAGCTATCTCGGCTAAGAACTGTTCCTTTAAGGTTTATTTTGTGAAACGTACAGATAATTAACTTTCTCAACGATAATTCACGTCCCATTAGGCTGTGCTATTAGCACTCAAGTAGCATTTTTCTTCATCACTGAGAGAGAGGAAATCCACACCAGCAGTGATGCATATGTGGTTGTAGTCATAAATTTCAAAACAGGAAGCGCAACTACACTAAAAACATGGTTCTTCAGGTCAATCTAAAAAACTACTTTATGATAACCTGTAAGTTACCAAGTTTTATTTTACCCAAATAAACACTTACCCAAACGATTCTGTCAATCAAAGAATTTGTTTGAGTTGAATAAAACTAGTTAAATTGCTTGTTACTATATGAAGTAATTTTTTTAGGTTGAACCCACAAGCCACTTTTTTACAATTTTATTTTTTATTATATTATTAGGGTCAATGTACACAATTCCACAATAAGAAAGACATTAGACAAAAATGGCATCCATGGGAGAGTTGCAAGGCACAAACCACTGCTGACCAAAAAGAACACAAAGGCTTGTCGCATTTGCCAAAAAAACATTGAGATGACCCCTAAGAAGTGTATCCTTTACTAATTAGTATGGACAATTAAATAGGATAGGCTAATGTGTGATGATTTAGGCATGCAGTTTCCACCATGCTAACTGGTGGCGTATAAGCGTCCATTACTTGCTAGCCTTGTAGTTCCAGTGCTAAAACTAAAGAAGCAACTAAAGAAGAAACTTCAGATAACAAACATGTTTTAGCAGATAAACTACATTTGGGGTACGGGGTTAAACTTGGGGAATTACATTTTTTTTTTGCTAAACTATTGCTTTTGAATTGTGTTCAGTTAGCAGATTAGCCTAAAAGTTTTCTGCTCTGCAGAGGAAACTACAGAGGTCAGAAGCCTTACGTCACAGGAAGCCCTTGCAGTGGTTGTAATGGAGAGAAGTGTGAAAATAACCTCTGCCGTAAGTGTGAAAGAAATATAAAAGAAATATAAACCCAAAGCAGCACAGAATCAGGCTGTCTGAAACCTGTGTAATATGTTTCTGCAGGTAACTCCACTCGAGACGCACTGAGACGTGAGTGTTACTGTTCATAAATCATTTCCTACAATAATCTTGCGAGATGAAAGTCCCTTTTCAGTACATTTTCATATATACAGTACTATGCAAAGGTTCACTCAAATGAGCAAAAAATCACTCTACTGATTAAGTGTCCAGGAATTGTACAGGGCTGAAGTGGCAACCCTAGTTGCAGCTCAGCATTATTTATAGTTAACATACAATACCTGGTTTGGCTAATCAGTCCTGCATTACATTAAATCAGGTGTGCTGGGTGTGGATTTGAGCCAAATCTCAAGAAGAAATTTGGAAATCAAACCTGTGTTCTTCTAAAAAACTCATACTAGTTTTTTGAAAAAAAAAAAATCTTGTTACTTTTCACAAAAGCATTATATAAGTATTTATTTTTAATTTGTATTATTATTTTTATATTATTCAAGTGTTAGGTCTTGTTTTTTTTTGGAAAAACATACTGATTGTCCAGACAAAATCTGTTAAATAATTTGTTAAAACTTATGCACAGTACTGTATATAGTATTTCTTATCCTGTTATTTCCTATACCAAAAGCATATATATATGGACAGAGTGTAGATAAAAGAAGGTATACTTAAAAGGAGATAAAAGGAGGTGTATATAAATAACTGATTTATTTATTTAAATGATGTGTGTGTGTGTGTGTGTGTAGGTTATAACTGGACTCCAAGCTGGGACCCAGCTCTGTCAGAGTGTGGATCTTTTTGTAAGGCTGTTCTGATCACCTGGCCTGTTTCTCTGCTCATCATCTTTAGCTCTGTTTACTGTATTCAGCTCTACTATCCAAACCTCCTCGTCTACACTTCCTGATAAAGAGAATATGACAACATGGTGAATTTAGGACATGTGCCTGGAATAGCATTCATTTTAACCAGTCACTGCTATTTGATATCCTTACTATGTACCTTCTACTTGTCCTTCTACTGAGTAACTCAGAAAATCCCTCCAGAATAAATTTCAGTTCACACAATTGTTTATTTGTTGAAAACATTGACCACATTTTAGCTGCATTCCGCTAAATTGCTTAACAAGGCACCCCCTTAATCTGAGGCACAGAAAGTCTCAAGGAGAGCCCCGCAAGACCTGATGTAACAGCGCCAAAGTTTGATCTCATAATACCAAAGTCATTAAGACATAATAAATGAAAACATAAACAGTGTACAATTAACATGCATGAATAGGTGTCTTTCTATGATCAGTGGTGATTTCAGTTCTTATGCAGAGTAAGCAGATAACTCAAATAACATTTAAACCAGTTACACTTACTGTGAATTCACTTCACTAAACAGAGTTCCCAACATGTCAAATTACTCTATACTTATTTGGGTTACAAGCTAAATATGCTTTCCACACACAGGAGGGGGGATTTACCAAATATCAAATTTTATGTAGAGGAAGAAGAGGCTGTTACAGTACAGTACCAGTTGAAGGTATGAGGTGAATCTGTTAATAACGTCGTCAGCTGAGCGGGTGAACATGCCTTGTTTCACCTGCATGTGGGACCAAATATGTCGGGAAACATTATAGAAAATATCATTTAATCCACATCAGCTTTTTGCTGGGTAAATTAACCGTCGGGGTGGTCAATGCTGCCCAATTTAAATGAGATACTAGTGCAGAGCCATGTAGAGACAGGCACTGCGTTTTATGAATCTGGTCCAGTGTGTTTTGTGGGGAATTTCTAAATGAGTCAGAGCTTGCGATAGCTAGCTGCACATACAAACTACCAAGTGTGTTAATGGGAAGAAAAAGTGCAGAGGGACACCATCTTTTAGTTGTTTTAAAAACTTTGACTCTCCATTTTTTTCTCATTAGGAATTTCAGATTAAACAGATTATAAATTGCATTCTGCAGTCATTCTGCAACCAAACAACCACAACAGCTACACATAATAGCAAAATAGAGCTATACAACTGTGGAGATTAAAATACAGTTAAACTACAAAAGCCCTAATTTGATTTTCCTCAAAACTGTCCTAATGGAGGCCTTAAGATGCTGTGGGCATGTTATGTGGTGTAAAATGAAGTTAAAGAGATAAACATATATGGGGGGTGGGAGTTAAAAAGAAAGAAAATATATGGTGTATGATGTTTTTTCCCTACACTTTTCACAATAAAAAAATCATCACGAAAAATCATCACTTCCAATTCACTACAGTTTTAATGCAAACAGCGGGGAGTGTCTGACACTCTCCTTTCTTATTAGATCTTAAATGGTCAAGTGTGATGATAAATAAATAAAATAAATTTGGACATTTCCATACGTCTAATAAATAAACAATCCTGATGAACTTCTGGAGTTGAAAGAGTAGGAGACAGACACTGATTGTGTTTTTATTGAACAGAATATTTAAGAAATTCTAATCTGACTTGTAAACAGTGTGAATCCACATACTGCTCTTTGTCATAACCAAAAGAGTTCTGAAAAATGAGTTTATTTTCAGTAGATGTGTTGCAGCTGTAATGCAGTAGCTGGGGTAAAACAGGATGTACAATGTAGACTCATGCAAGCACTTCTGCTTCTAAAAAAAGGTTTCTGTTTGTTCTTTGAACTGCAGTTCTTAGAAACAAAAAAAATTACACAGCCATCACTGCATACAATGTATGTTACTTGCAAATGTAACTAAAAGTAAGTGATGTCTAAAACACAAATATAGCCATTTTATGGCCGTTGTCCTTTTTTTTTGTTGTTGTTCATTGCTTCACTGCCATTGTTCTTGTTTCACTGCTTTTGTCGTTTTTCAATGTCTTTGCATTTTTATGATTAATGACTGGAGAAGGTTAATGTGTGTGACAGTTCAACAGAAACCAGACGCTTGCGGATGGAAAGTTGATGACAGTTTAGTAACCAACCGCAAACAGAGCAAAAAGGGCAGAGCAAAGTCGTCGTCGTCGTGAAACTGGCAAAAAGTCAAAAAAACACAAATCAATCAGAAAAGGCAAAAGTACCAGAGGGATGAAGCAAAATACAAAACGGGAGAAACAAAGCAGTGGTCAAAAACACGGAAGTCGGACAATCAGAATAGAAACGCTCAGTAAGTCTCAGGGAAACAATACCTCGCAACGAACCTAACAAAGGCCCGGGCTTATATACTACCAGTTCGCTGTCTCATAAAAACACACACAGGTGAAAGCAATTAGTATTCCGGTGATTGTGAGCGCTGATAGGAGCGTTCGCGAGAGTCACTGGTCACGTGAGCCCCCACTGCACTGGGCAATAGAGTCTCTGTCGGAATCCGAGTCCGCGTTCGATGGCCGAGTCACATGATCTCCCATGGGATTCTGGGAGATGAAGTCCGTTTCACGAGAGCATGCCGTAGGCGTGACAATGTGAAAAAACAAAGTGCCATTTAATTTTCATTGTTTTAACGATCTGACCAGCTATTGCATTTAAACTGCCAGTGAGACTTCCTCTGAATCAAACGCTGTGGGCGGGACATTGGGAGGGACTTTTTAATGGGAGGCTGTAATGGTTCTGGTGTACAGAGTTGGCAGCAGTAACCACTGAGTGACTTTTCAGCGCTTACTAACCAGGCCGAGGATAATTCTGTCCAAAGGGATTTTTGTGTGGAAGTGATTGTTGACTGACTAGGAGAGCTTGTAGCTGCACAAGCACTAATGTTAGTGACAGGTAGACAGGTGTTCTGAATTGTGCTTCTTTGTCGAAATGTCCGACCACAGATGAAGCTGAAGGGAACTTCTGGGGGCAAGTGGATTGACCTGGCTCTGTGGCTTTTTTCTGTCCCCATTGTTTTCGTGGGCTGGTTCACTGCCCACTTTATCCTCTTCTCTGCCAGAGCTTCCCGGTTGGGAGTCTCGATTCTTGTCTCCGCCAGTCTGGCTGCATTCCTCCTCCTTTCTCTTCCTCTTTCCTTATGGAGCATCTGCGTACAGGATGATCATTTAAATATTTAATGTTTTGGTCACTTTACTTAAAACAGGACCGACCACTGGACCTGACAGTGGATTCACCATTAAAGTGACCAGATCAGAATTATTTGGTTGCCAGCAACAAAGCATCTGCAAGAAAAACTCACTGTAAAATTTGTTATATTCTGAACCTGTACACTACTTTGTAATAAAGGAATTTCATTATTTTTCTCCATTTCTTTTATCATGTGTTTATATTATTATATTTTCTACAGCCAGTTCCTTAACTTTACTTTTTTACTCCAATGCCATCACTTTTGGCTGCATGTCAGCTCTTTTTATCCCATCACATTTCCTCAATTACAGCATTTAGTTTTACAGTATGGGCAAGTGGACCGACCTGGCTCAGTGGCTTTTTCCTGTCCCCGAGTTGTTCTCTTGGGCTGGTTCCCTGGCCGCTTCTTCCTCCTCCCTGCCGGAGCTTCCATGTTGAGAACCTCGCTCTGGCCACATTTCTCTTCTTTTCTTTTCCTCTTTGTTTTATCTGAGTACAGGATGATCATTTGAGTATTTAATGTTCTATCATAGAACATGAGCTGGATATATCTGTAGTAATGATAATTCTAGGGTGATACATTGCATTATAATTTATATTGTTACAATGGAATAATATTTAAATGTGCTTATAGTCTTCTGGTGACAAAGAGAAACTGACAAACTAACAAAGAGCTATCCCAAATAAACAAATCAATAAACAAACAAGAATGTATGGAACCTCTGCCTGCAGTGCGCTTCTCCATCATCTTCTGCTGTATGAGATTTAGACGTGTGCTACTGTGTTGTTTATTTTTCACCAAACTGATCAGAAATGACCAAATTCTGAGTGTAGAAGGTTTTTAACATCACTCATCCATTGTGACATCATAGTTAAGATGTTCTACGTGGATACATGTTGCCATGGTGCCATTTATAGTGTGTGTGTGTGTATTTATGTTTATACACACACACACACACACACACACATATATGTGTACACACACACATAGACACTTGTATGCAAAAGTTTGGACACCCTTGGTGAAAGTCCACGTTTTGTTATTTTTTTAAGTGAAAATAAATGAACACATCATCTACAGAGGACACACATCTGTAAATTAATGCTACATTCTGTAGCCTGTGCTTTTCTTACACAGATAGAATATGACATTCTTAGCTACACTGATAATAAATACACCAATAATGGCGCTTAAAATGTTACGTAAGGAAATCATATTGTTTAACAGAACAGAGCTGTTTAACACTGAGAGCTCATATTATTGATTTGATTAATTAGATTACATATTAGTTATAACTTATAATGTGTAACGCTCGGACAGAAAACCAGACGTGTGCGGATGGTGAGTGCAGGTGGTTTAATCTAAACCAAGCGGCCGTACTCAAAAGGGGAAAAACAGAGATCGTAGTCAAAAAACAGTCCAAAAGTCAAAACACAGATCATACACACAAGCGAAAGTACCAAAGGAATAGGCGAGAGGCAAAAACGGAGTCAAACGAAGCAAAAGGTCAAACACGGTAAACAATCAGATCAGGATGAAAACCGCTCAGTAGTCTCGGAGAAACAATACCTCGCAGTGAGTCTAACTAAAGCCCGGGCTTATCTACTCTAAACTACCTGTCATATGATCATCAACACAGGTGCAAGCAGTCAAAACTCAGGGGATTGTGAGCGCTGATAGGAGCGCCTGTGAGAGTCCGAAGTCACATGAGACTCCATAGTATCCTGGGAAATGGAGTTCTCGTCAGAGTCGGATTCCGAGTGCGGCTGCTCAGTCACATGATCTCCCAGAGAATTCTGGGAGATGATGTCCGTTTTCTCCATAGAGGGAGCCGAATGCATGACATAATGTTATTTTTAAGGGGTTGTTACATAGTTGTATAATGTTTGTGAGCGTTGTTTTGAGTAAAATAACAGTGTTAATTAACTAACTGTTTTTCATTTTAAATTTGAGAACTCAGAATAATGCTTTGTAATTAATGATTATTTCAGTCAACCAAGCACTGTTTAACTAAAACTACTAGTCTACTAGTCTAATTTTTCTACTAGTTTAATTTTTGAGCATATAAAATGAGTGACTGCCACCATTTATTAGAATTTTGAGCTCTGTATAATCAGTATGGTTGCCCATTTTTAATCTTTATCTTTAATTTATGTTACAAATATACTTGATGCCTTTTTCTGAGATCTTGTTGATGTATTTCTTCAATGTTGAATTCTAATGAGACACATTTACACTGCAAAAATGGCTTATCAGTTCAACCTAAAAAAAATGACTTCATGTGGTAACAAGTAAATTAACTAGTTTTATTCAACCTTCTGCTGCATGAACTAAACAAGACCTGCGGTTTCACTTTCTTCTTCCAGATTCACTGCAAACTCTGCAAATTAGTCGTGAGCTACTTTTTGTGGCTTTATCTATTTGGCCTGACCAGAAAAGACAACATTCCGAGCTCAGCAGGTTGTGACATCACATTCATCCATTGTGACATCACAACTGACTGCTTGCAAAACTCCCACCTCCCTTAGTTACTGTTGCTACGTCTGTCAAACTGTCAGTTCAGGCTATTTAGTAGTATCATTACCTAATAACAGACTAAAAGTGCAGCAATACAAACTAAATTTAGGGCTTGTTCAGACTTGGCAGGTTTGGTTTGATTAAAATAAACCCTGCGATTGCTCTGTTAGTGTGGTTCGTTAGAGTGAGTGAAAACGCTGCAACTGAGCTCTGGTGCACCAAAGAAGCCAAACAGAATGAACCATTGGCTCCTCTCCGCAGAACTTCATTGGTTCATGAAGAAGATGAGTTTCTGATGCTGTTTTGACACGTGCATGTGTTTTTATTCTCTCTAAGCTTTAAATCACTACTTATAGGACAGGTAGTTCAGGTTTTAAAACGAGACTGATGCACTTTTGACGTCATTATAAAATACTCCATATACATGTTTCACTGCTCAAATAAATTAGATAAATGTATTGTGGCCACTTGCTCCACATTTCAGAACGGCTTTAGGGGCATGGTGTGCAAAGCTTTGCTGCGTGTGCTGCCTTCTCCCCTCTGTAAAGAGGACATTTGTTCTTGCTATTGTTTATGTTGTCATTGTTGATTTAAGATGTGTTTGTATGTTGACTGTGCTTTATTGTGCTGGGCTGTGGATTTAGTAATAGTAATTAGAACAGTAATAAGATCTGTGCTACAGATAGGAGAACTCTGGAAGAAAAAATGTAAAACAGATCAGTAACATGCTAGAGAAAGAAATGTAAATAAAAGCTGTTTCCATATCTGAGAAATGCTGATGGTAGATGTAGGACTTGTGGAGGTCGATAAAAGAAGAGTACACATTTGGTTAAGCCTTAAAGCAGTGACATGAATAGAAGAGAGAACAAGGATTTTTCAAAAAATTGGTTTGATACAGGATTTTAAGTCACTTAGCATCTAGTTACCAAATCACAGCTTAGTTCAAATAATAACTTACTGTTTTAACTGTAACTGCAGCATCAGTCACTCCCTCAAATTTCTGTTTTTATTTTCTAAACTCATGTGAGTGAAGCATCAAACCTGGTCTGTGGTGTTTGAAGCCATCAGCCTGCTAGCCAGCAAGCTAACAACCCCACACATCACAGAATCTTGTTAGTTTCTCTTTTTCTGTCACTCCAACAACAGTCACTTGGCATCTCTTGCTCAGATTTGAGCCTTTATTCGTCATGCATGCGTTAGCTAGCATAAGCTGGAACTGAGCAGAGCTATTAACTTAGATGTTAGCTAACTTAGCTTGCACAAACAGGTTAGTTAGTTAACAACTCTAACAAGTGTACACATCACTTTATTAGAAATGGCATATAAATTCGATACCGTTCCAAATTCACAATGGGATTTTTTTTTTTACTTTTCTCTTATTATTTTGTGAGAGTAAACATTGATCTAAAAAAGGTGACTTGCTAATCTAGCTACCCCAGCAGATAATGGCGAGCTAACTGACTGTTAGCAAGTGATGCTCATTTTCATTTTAACATATGAAAAGCTCAACACTAACAAATCATAGTATTAGGTTTGAGTAAATGTCTGACTAAAAAAAAAGGTACATCAAATAAATTAGGAATTTACTTACCAAACGCGTTTTGAAGCCTTCCGAAGTTTCCAGAAACTGCTCTAAACACGCACTTCCCGCCTCTGTGAAGCGCTTGGACCTCCATATGGGTGGAATCTACCTCAGATCGGATATAATCTGCCTCAGGACAGGTAAAATTCTCCTCAGTACAAGTGGAATTTGCACTATTAAGTTATTTTGGGCAAAACATCAGCTGCCGAGCCTGACCTGTACCCGTCCCGATACTGGTGTGCCAAAACTCTTAGCTGACTCTTTATGTTAGCTAACGGCCAGCCTACTCTATGCAAATATACTTAGTCCAGCTACAGAGAATGCACAATATAAACCAAATAGAGTTTGCTAATAGCTTTTGTTTTTGCAGCAAAAAATACTTCTATGTGTAGTTTTGTACACTGGGTTTGATATACTCCGTTATATAGCTCCGTGTTTACAGAGAATTAGTTGGACATTACTGGGTCAGTTTGCTGAATAGCAACCTGCCCAGATACTAGAACTCATTTAAAATCATTACATCTTGTCTTACTTGAAATTGTTAGTTGATGCA